CAGTATATGGTCTGTGATTATGATAAGAATGAATTATATTTTCGCATTAAACAATCTGTGTATGCTTTTAAGTGTATGGCTGCATGTATGTATGTATGCAATAACAGTATAATGTATAGAGTGCATTGCATGTGCATGTAAAATGCCATGGTAGTATTTCATAGTAGAGGTACAGTACTACGTAACTGTAATTGTATTTTACATAGTGTAGATATGCATATGTGCAAAATATAATTATATCATGTACACTACACAGTATATTATACTTACGTACTATACTATTCAATAGACGGTAAAATGCACTGTAAAATCTGGTCTTGAAGGAGTTATGTACAATGTATATATTATGCTACTGGATATCTATTTCTTTTTGTCGCATGCTACATATAATGTAATCCATAAAAATAAGTACTTTTCACTCTTTTCTATTTATTCCGCTTAATCGCACTGCGTTGTGTTTCTTAAGGCTTATGAGGAAATTAGGAGAGGCACGGCTTCATGATATTGGAACATCTGTAGTATATGGATCCGAAATTGCATCAATGTCTTGGTTAAAGCGAAAACTTCTTTCAGACTTCCACTAAAATGCACTTATCCGTAGAAGCTTTAATGTCGAGTAAATTCAAAGAGTGTTTCACTCTCATCGACAGAGGAAAGATTCACTTTTGCTGGTAAATCGATATTTTCATATGTACATATATTTGATATATGTTGAAGCTGCATCAACAACAAATTACCTATATTAATTTTGATGTTGTACAAAAACGGAAAGCATTTGTTTCAACGAAACAGTTTCTATAAAGTTTCAAAATTGTTATATATTGTTATTTTTATATTTCTAGATTGCTATATTGTTTAACGGTTGACTGTGTTATAGTGTTTGACAATCTGCGCCATATCCTCAGCGATGATGGTGTTTGGCAGCCCCAGTACATAACCGTCTTCCAGTTCATATGGTTCTTTCGTGATAAGCTGCTTTCCGTGTTCGTTGAAAGCTTGGCTCATGAGAGTAAGTACTGTGGAACTGTTTTTTATTGAGGCATCACTCCTCAGTTTTTAAGTTGTCTCGATTTCTGCGAACCGTACACAGTAATCTTGATGGAACTTCGTAGCAAGGTTTAGCTTTTGGTCGATCCATACACGCAATCAAGCTTTCCTCATATGGAAGCGAACCGAAGCCGTTGCCTGCCTTTCTAAGCCTATAAGTTTATTGGTTCTTGGCTGTGTCACTCCCTAATAGCTCGTTTCTCGTCATCAGTGGTCCTTTAGGAGGCGGCATTC